TTTTTTTTTTAGACAAGAGTCTTGCTGTGTAGCTCAGGCTGGCCTTGAGCTCACTATGTAGCCCAGGCTGGCCTTAAACTCTCAACAATCCTCCTGACTCAGCCTCCTGAGTGCTGGCATTACAGGAGTGTGCCACCGTTTCCAGATGATGGGTTCCTTTTGATAAGTTGAATCTGAGGTGTGTGGAGGCCTTCAACTGGCCAAGTTCCCTCAGGGGAGGAGACAGGGCTGGAAATGGACATAAGTGGTCATCAAACCAAAGGTGACTTCAGGGGTGGTTTACAGATAGGAGAGGAGCAATGGAGATAGCATAGGCAGGAGGGATGGGTGGGAAAAGGTGGGGCAGAATCTTTCCTGTTTGGAGACCCCAGGGCCACGGTCACAGACAGCACAGGGTGAGGTCATTCCTGTGGAGGCACAGGAAACAGGACACTCTGGCCAGTATGCGCATCTGTGAAGGCCCCCAGGGTGCACCTCTGCTCGCTCCAGGTCCGCATGCAGGCTATAGCTCCGAACCACAGGCCCCAGGGTTCCAGGGGCCTGGGGACTTCTTGCCACTCTGCCATTGGCTGGTGGGGAGCTCTACCCCTCCCCCAGATGCTCAGCAGTGCTAACCCTGGATGCCACCTGAGTGAGTGTGGCGCAGCAAGACAGAGTCCCCAGCAGGGCCAGTTGCTGGAGTCAGACAGCAGGCTGAAGCCCCAGGCTATTTCCAGCTGATCGGTTCTGTCAAGAGAGCTGACCACTCTCAGCCATTGTCACTGTGGTCACTGCAACCTAGTCCCCTAGTCCTCCTGACATCCATCCTTCCCCTCACTAGCAGACTCCTACCTGAATGTTAGAACCCATATGGAGTTTTGAGCCCTAGACAGGGTGGTCAGTGCTGTCTTTGAGTGGTGGTCTCCAGCAGGTGGTCTCTGCCCCCTGTCATCCCATGTGCAGACCTGGATTTGGCTGTGCCAGAGACCGCCAGACTGGACAGCAGTTTACACAAGGCCCGGGCCCAGCTACTGGCCAAGGGCAGGAGACACCGGCCGTCCCGCTCCAGGCTTCGGGACAGTGCCAGCTCTGCGGAGGACGGCGAAGGCTCTGATGGGCCTGGAGGCAAGGTAGGGACAACACACACACACACACACACACACACACACACACACACACACACATCCCTCCTGCCCTGGTTCATCTCTGGATCTCAGGCATCCTACATAGAATGCTACCAGACTGTGGCCCACACCACCTTTTTGAGGAAGGTATTCACTGCTTTACAGATGATGAAGTTGAGGCGGAACTGATCTGTAACGGTCCTACTCTAGATGAGCATGGTGGTACACGCCTGTAATCCCAGCACTCAGGAGGCTGAGCAGGAGAGCTGTGATTTGGAGACAAGCCTGGGCTACGAAGTGAGCTCAAGGCCAGCCTGAGCTGCACAGCGAGACTGTTCAAAAAAGACAAAACTAAATAAACAATCATACTTTAGTTAAAAAGTGAAGGAGGCAAACCTCACCCCAGCTCCAGGGCACAAGGAACTCCCCCTCCAGACCATAGGAGGTCCCAGAAGTGCTCATCTCCAGCACACTGGACAGAGCGAGCCGGTGTCCCCACCCCTAGGTGACCGACGGCTGCGGGAGCCCTCTGCACCGACTGCGCTCGCCTTTGCACTCTGGCCCAGGCTCTCCAGCCGGCGGCTCTTTCTGCCTGGAGCCCCCGGGGTTGCGCCGCAGCCTGGACGAGGACGAGCCGCCGCCCTCGCCGCTCGCGCGCTACCGGCCCCTGCACAACGCCGCGTCGCACGAGGGCCTGGCTGCCGCCTCGGGATCGCCGCCGCGCTCCGCGCCCTCCTCGGACAGCTCGCCGAGCTTCGTGCGCCGCCACCCGCGCGCCGAGCCGCACAGCGAAGGTGAGCGCGGCGCCCCCTGCCGGGAGCACGGGAACCGCGCAGGCTCGCGGAGTGCCAGGCGCAGTTGGGTTCTAGGACGCAGACAGACCAAATGGAATCGCCCTGTCCTCCTTGCGGGTGCGTTTAGGAGAGAACCAGAATAAAGTTAGCAGTAAGCGGTAATGGTCCCTGCTTTGAACCTGTGAAGTGCTTCAGAGTTTGTGGAAGGCTTTCAGATACCTCGAAGGAGGCAGGTGTTCTCTTCATGTTTGGGGTGAAGGGCGTCACAGCAAGGAACTTCAGTGGTCACAGCAAGGGAAGGGCGCCAGAGCCAGGCTGCTGCCGGATTCTAAGACATGAGAATCCCTACCGCCCAGCCGCCCTGTAAGCCACCACTCGGGCTATTCCTTCCCCCTCTTTCCAAAAGATGACAGCCGGGACGCCAGCCCCCCTGAGCCTGCCAGCCCCACCATTGGCCTGGATAAGAAGACGCGTCGGAAGTTTCTGGACCTGGGGTGAGTGGAGGACCCGGGGTACAGGGCTCAGAGCTGCAAGAGTAAGGGTGGCGCCAGGAGCAGCTCTGCCCGCGTCCCTCTGTCCCACAGGGTCACCCTCCGCCGGGCCTCCACTGGCAAGAGCCGGAAGGAGAAGGGCAGCAACCGACTGTCCATGGGAAGCAGGTGAGAGGCACCCTGGGCAGCCCGCCCGGCCTCCCTGGCCCTGGACGCCCATACCCATGCCGGTCACTCTCTCCACAGGGAGTCAGTGGAGGGCTCTGGCAGGTCAGGGGGCTCCCCGTTCCTGCCTTTTTCTTGGTTCACGGACAGCGGCAAGGGCTCAGCATCCTCAGGCAGCACCACGTCCCCTGCCTGCTCCCCTAAGCATGAGGGCTTCAGCCCTAAGAAGTCAGCCTCCCAGGTAAGCCTGGGACTTTCCGGTCTCACACTGGCCCCTAGACCCAGGTGACATGGGGACACGCTTCGGGCTGGGGTCCAGGCCTCCCTTGTGTTCATCCCTGGAGCCATTCAGAGATCTGCTCCTTCACCATCCCCTGAATTCATTTGCCTTCTGTTGCACTCACACATAGTCTGAGGAACTGGTTCACTCCTGGATCCGTTCATTGCTCCTCCGCTCCACCCTCATCTCTGAATGAGGGTCTCCCCTCCACACAGGCCTGCATCTCCAGGCCTGACTCAGTTAACTGCTCTGTCTGGATCAGAGCTGGGCCACCTGCCTGGTGGATGAAGCCTCCAAGACAGCAGCATGAAAGCCCAGTCTAGTGCTCGGGAAGCTCACAGCCCTGTGACATAAGACAGAGGAACAGGGGCAGCGCAGGGCATGTGCCTGTGCATGTGGCCCTCAACTGTGTCTAAAGCCCCAAATACTTATTATGGATTTAACAGGGAGGCAGGGAGGCAGGGAGCCAGGCACTCTCTCCCCATAGGCAGGTGAGCAGGTGAAGGTCTGGAGAGAAAGGGTTTACCCAGGACTCACACAGACCCTTCTCCTGTCCCTTGCCTTCTTATTGTCCCTGTGCTGGGCCCTGGGGAAACCAAGCCCATTAAGACACAGCCCAGGGAGGTCAAATGCAAGCTGTGGAGCTAGAAGCCTGGTGGGAGGAGCATACCCAGGACACCCGGCCCAGCATGGGGAAGTCCCGGTGGGCTGCCTATAGGAAACTACACCTGTTGGCAACTTCCATCTGGCTTAGTTACACCTGCAAGTCCTCTGGATTATTGCCTCACACGGGTTACCAGGTACCCTCCCTATATCCTGCCAACTCCTGGCTTATGCAGGGGGGCCCTGAGCAGCTTTAGGACCAGAATGGGACTTCAGCCCCATCTGGATGGCATGGGTTTGGAGACGGGTGGCTCCCTAGGTTTGGGGATGAACTCGAGGCTTCCCATCCAGGAATCCACCCTGAGTGATGACTCCACACCACCCAGCAGCAGTCCCAAGATCCCGAGCGGCCCTCGGGAGGAGGCCAAGTGCTCCTACCCCTACCACACGCTGTCCCAGTCTTCGGATGAGGTGAGCAGCGCCAGCCACGGGACCCGTGGGGGCTGGAGTGTAGGCCCAGCCTTCCTCACTCCTGTGGTCTCTGCCCAGTTCTTGGATGAGCCCCTCCCTGCCGTCCAGCACTGGACCAGCCAGCAGGTGGGCCAGTGGCTGCAGGGCCTCAGCCTGGAGCAGTACGTCGCAGAGTTCGCTGCCCGGCAGGTGGACGGGCCACAGCTGCTGCAGCTGGATGGGAGCAAGCTGAAGGTATGTCGAAGTGCAAGGGGCGGGACCCAGTAGGAGCGGAGGTGACCGTGAAGATCAGGAATCCTCATCCTGACCTTTGGCTGCCAGCCCCAACCCGCGCTGCATCCCTAGCTGACCGCACCCCCCCCCATTCTGTCCACTGCGCTGAGTTCTGACCTCAGGCAAAGTCTTTGTCCAATCTTTGTCCTCTTATCTGGGACCCCATTCTGACTTGAACCCAGAGCTCCCCACATCATCTCGCTTCTGCTCTAGGCTGACCTTGTTCTTTGAAGCTGAGTAAGTTTCCCAGGGTCATAAGAAGCCAGGTCTGTCTCCTGGCTACTGACTGTGCTTTTTGTCCCAAAGAGCTGGTGGCAGTGTGTGACTAGTAGAGGGGAGGCTTCTGATCTCTGGTGGACTTTCTGGCTGGTCTCCTGTTCGGTTCTCTCCTCATCCAGCCACTGAATTCCCAATCTAGGCAGGAAGCACAGGGTGTGGGGGGAAGTGGAGGAGGGCACACTTCCGGGAAGACTCCCAAGCTCTGTAGGGAGCATTGCGGGCAGAAGGAAGCCAGAGCGGGAGGGCTGGGCAGACTGTTCTGGTGAGCTTCCTTTGGCACCCTGGGATTCCTCCTCAGAGCCTGGGCCTCAGCAATGCGCATGACCGGGCACTGGTGAAGCGAAAGCTGAAGGAGCTGGCAGCGGCTGCAGAGAAGGAGCGCAAAGCGCAGGAGAAGGCCGCGCGGCAGCGGGACAAGCTCCGGAGGCGTGAGCAGGAGGCCAAGAAGAGCTAGGGGTGGGCAGGGCACGCGGCACTGGGCACTGCTGCCCCAGCTAGGCGGGCACAGGCCTCACCAGGGAGGCTGGGGCTGCACCAGGCTTGGGTTGGCCTGGCCCCACACTCTGGGGGCACATGCCCCTCTCCCCGCCTGGACCCAGAGTCCCCGGGAGGGAAACCCCAGGGAGAGAGCCCCCCAAATAAACCCGATTTCCAGGACTTGCTTGGCACAGAGTTCCTGGGAGAGGAGGGGCAGAGGAAGGGAGCAGGCCGAGAGGCCCAGGCTGAAGCAAGTCCAGGTACCCATGGGTCTGGCTGACCCTTTGCCTCTAACCAGGGTGCTGCCGGGCTGGAAATGAGCGAGGGCGTTTGCCTGTGTGTCCCCTGGGGCTCTTGTGACAGGCCAGGGTCCTCAGGCTCTGAGAAGGCTGAGCATTTTGGCAGGGGTAGGTGACAGAGCTCTTTCCGAGGTGGCTTGGGGGGCAGCAAGTCACGCTCAGGGTAGACTCCTACCCGGCGCCTTCACAGCACAGCAGAGAGCAGCGTGGGAGATGCACAGCCTCTGTGGACTTCCCAGAGGGGGACAGGAGGCTGACAGCCCCTCCCCGGTCCCATAGGTGCCTATGGGTGGGATGGCACCCCCACACACATCTGCCTCCAGGAAGGGCTGTTCAGGACAGGGTCTCTGACTTGCTGTCCAAGCTAGGTCCTGCTTCTCCTGCTCTCTCAGAGTGCTCCGGATCCCTCTCTGGGGACCCAGCACATGTGGGAGCTGCTGGGGACAGAAGGGCCCCTCCCCACCAATGCCTGGGTGGGGCTAAGCCTTCATTCCAGCCAGCAGAGGCAAAACCTGGGATGTCACCTAGGAGCTGCTGGACTGGAGGGGCTCATTAGCTGTTCCCTGGCTACTGTCAGGCTTCCTTGCACTAGCAAGAGATAGAATGCCAGCAGCCTGGGGATGGCATCAGTCATTCTTAGGAGATGACCAGAGACAGCCCAGGGTCATGCTGACCAGCTGCTAGGTCAAGTCACTGATGGGGTCCAGGGACTTTCAGCGCTCCTCCCATCTGGACAGAGCCAGTGCATGCTGACCCCCTCATTCCTGCCCGGGCTGTGGCTCAGGGCCAGGCCCCGTCCCTGGGATCAGCCCTTTCTTCCCCTGGGCCATCTGTGCTGAGAGAGGGTCTTCAGAGGAACAGTAGATAGGGAGCACTGGCACCATCGGGCCTGGCGGGGGCTGCTGGGGAGCTCGGAAGGCACTTGTGTCCTCAGAGCCCTCAGGACCCCGTGGGTGCCCACCTGCATGTGAGAGGTTGTGATTCTCAGTTTCTCAATAAACACTTACGATGTGCCAGTGGCCTTTCTGTCTGCCCCTGCTGGGGGTTCTGGTGGGAATGAAAGTGGGCTCTGAGTGTGGTGGGGCAACAGACCTGCCCCCCGGTGCTGGGCACTCAGGCGTCTTGAGTGGTTGTGCCTGGGCTATGCCCGTGGTGCATGCCGGGCCAAGTCCTGAGTACACCATGTGTGCGTCACAGGCTCTGAAGGCGTGTGTGTGTGTGTGTGTGTGTGTGTGTGTGTGTGTGTGTGTGTACATGTGCACACACGGGTACACATGCATGGATTCCCTCCCTCTCCCAGCAATGCAGCCAGATCATGGTCTCATTCATTCTCTTCTTTACTGTGATGTCACTGTCACAGCCACGGGGAGGAGCACACAGCTTTCACCTCTCATGTTCTTGGGGGCTGGCACCCAGGGTTAAAAAACTAGCTATGTACAGAGACTATCCCAGGGAGGAAGCCACCGGGACTCTGGGGTTTGGGGCTCAGGCAGGACAGGGCGGGTATGTTGGGGAGGGTGGGCTGTGCATGTGCAGACATGCTGGGCCAGGGCACAGGAGGCAGTGCCACCGCAGCCAAGGTCACCAAGGGTCCGTGGCTGGGTGGGTGACCTCCACAGTCTCTTGGGCTCCTCCCTGTTAGGGGTGAGCCTTGGGCAAGAGCTGTGCCCATCCCACCTTGATCTTAATGCCCAGAGTGCAGGGGGAAACTCTAAGACCAGGCCCCAACCCAGGGCCAAGAGTGCACCCGTTTCCCACTCATGCCTAGGTGCGGGGGCACCTGGACCCCTCCTGACACTGACAGCGGCTGGGGCACTGTGCCCTAATGGGAGACCATGGGGTAAGCAGGGCATCCACTTGGAAGACCAGGGCTATGCAGGCAGTGAGGGGGCACCCGGGATCCGGGACAGGGACTGCCATGGCACAGGGCATCTGGGGCACCCTATCGGGTGGAGCCATGACCCCTGGCCCTCAGGCATCACCTACGAAGACTGCACCCCAGGGAGACCAACTTGGTATCTCCATGGAGACAGATTGGCACTTAGGAACCACCACCGATCAATCACCCAGGGACTTCCACAGAGAGATAGGGCCTGGTCATCAAGAAGACACCCCCACTCTCACCTCTGGAGGGAGGGATGGGGGCCCCTGTGGTGGCCAGACCCAGAGGCAGTGGTCTGTCCTCTTGCTTGCGGGCGCAGGAGGCCCCTAGCTGACCCGATACGTGGACGTGTTCTTGGGCTCCGTGCTAGGCACACACCAGTCACCGGCCTCCTGGATGGTCTGGTAGTGGCGCCAGGCAGACTTGTTGTAGACTGGCAGGCGCTCAACCGAGTCCGTGGACAGGGCCTGGAGGGTGGCACAGCCAGCGACCCATGTCCCCATGACTGCACTCATCAAAGTTCACCATCCCTAGCACCGCCCACCCTACCCTGGTCAGAGCTGGCTCGGCCACCAGACGCTGGCTAGGACCCACAACAGGGTCTGTCCCTTCTGGGCCCTGCTCCTGCCCACTCAAGAAGCTGCCCCCTTCAGGGGCCAGAGACGGAGAGGACGAGGCCAGACCGCATGAACCTGGTCCAGGTCGCCATGCCGCCAGCTCTACAGGCTTCCCCTCGGGGCTGAACGCCAAGATCTCTGCACTCCCCTTCCCTGCCTGGCCTAACAGAACGTCCTGGAGGAACTCCCCGCCATGCTGGCGCGCCTGGGGCTGTGTGTCCAGCAACTCTGGCTTTGTTCTGATTTTGAGCCTGGACCCAGGAAAGGGTGGTGGGAAGGACAGGTGGTCTAGTGGGGGCCAGTCTGCCAGTACCCCTTCTCTAGCAGGCCTCACCTTGAGATAGATGACAGCGTCAGTCCCAAAGCCTTCCATGGAGAAGAGCTGTAGGTCCCCCTGGAAGTACTTGGCATAGAGGCGGGAGATGGGCAGCCCGTAACCGAAGCCAGCCTGTGGAGAGTGAGAGGGGTGGGGGTGGGGCAGGGCTGGGGTCACTGCGGTGCGAGTGGAGCTGAGTGGGATGGTAGGGAGTGGGGAAGAAGGCTGGATGGGCGACAGCGGGGCCCACAGGCTCCTCTGAGTCTCAGCCTCCCAAGCTGGGTCCTGCCTCCTGCACAGGAGGGACAGGGAGACATTAGGGAGTTGGACACCAGACAAGAAAGGCGCTATGGGAAGACACGGGCACAGGGAGAGCAGAACAGAAGGAGCCGAGGAAAGGAGACAGGAGGGCAGACAGAGAGAGGCTGGGCAGGCAGGTGGGCAGGGGCAGGATGAGACAGAGGCAATGGCATCCGGTGGGGATGTGGCGTCTCACCAGCGGGGTGCCCCCAGTGCCGGGCTGGGGTGTGGGGGCCGTGGAGTACATGTAGCTGAAGAGGCGCTCAATCTTCCTCAAAGGAACACCCCCACCTCGGTCACTCATCTAGGGGACAGGGGACATGTCAGGGCCCCACCCAAACCCCTTGCCCGGCCCATTCTTTCTCTAGCCTGTGGTCAAAGGTCACATACTTTGATGGACAGATCTTCTTCACCCAAGGCCACCATGACCTTGATAGGGGGGAGAACAAGGCTAGACTCATGGCTTTCTACGGTGGCCCGCATGGCGTTCTGGGAAGGAATGAGGAGAGACACGTTGAGAGAAGGCCCAGCCCTAATGGTGGCCCCAGGGAAAGGCCAGCTCCAGCCACCCCTCAGCCCCCTCACCTTGAAGAGTTCAAAGAGCATATGGTAGAGGTGGGAGGGGACGTAGACCATGTGGATGGGTTGGGTAGTATTGGCAGCTGCAGGGTCAAGACCAAGGTCAGGAAACGAGCTAGTGCCCACTGCCTTCCCCAGGGTCCCAGGTTCTCCTTCCTCCACTCTTGTTTTAGTGACAGGCACCCCCCACCACCCACTAAGGCCATAACTAGGGCACGGCTGCCCAGCTAGAGATGGAATCCACAGGCTCCCGAGCTGGGGCTGCGCGGCCAAGGTTGAACGCTTAGCTCTGGGCCCTCCTAGAGCCTGGAGGAGCGGGGCCTGCGGTGCCCACTCACACCAGCAGCCCACGGCAGGCTGCAGAGAAGCCGACCTTCATCAAGTCCCTCTGACCTGTCAGACTACACCTGACCTCACACACCACCCCTCCCACCCAGGGTCCCTTATCACCTGTACTGCCTTCCTGTCGCTGGGACTTGGATGACCTTGTTTGTTTACTTATTCCAGATTAAAGACCCCATTCTCCAGCCTTCCCAGCCACGACTATGACCCTCAAAGAGGGCAGGACCTAGCCAGTCATTTATAATAAATATTTTACCCAATGTTTAATAAGCAGCTGCCCAATGAATTAAGGATGTGCTTTTATCTTTTCTTGAGGCAGGATCTCA